TTTTAAATTGAACGACTGTAGCAATGTTGCTGAACCCTCCCTGCAAGTCAAATGTGCTGGTTGTGCGCTGTGTGCCAAGGGCCCCTCCCTCCAGGCTTACACACTGGCTGGAAGGGCTCCAGCCAGAGCCACGTATGGGCACGCTCTGGGGTGGAGAAGTCCGAGGCAGGCCACATGCCTCGCAGCTGATTTATGAATGAGATTCCACACCTGCACACCACAGGGCCCACACGGTAGCCAGTGTAAATTGGTGTAACCCCCACTGAAGGCAACATAACAACAGGTACTTGTATCTACTGATAGCCTGATCTGCCCGGTGCAAAGTGCCTAAGCCCACAAACCAGCGTGGGACTACCTCCCCAGCCTGCCTGCCGAGAGCCTGAGCCAAGAGCACGGATGGGTGTCTCGGCCTTGGGGCATTTTGAAGCCCAGTAACTGCAGTGTAACTGCCAGCGTTGCTAGGGTTTTCCAGGTGACAAGAGGGAGGGCACGTGTGCGAGACTGAGACTGAGCTGAGAGTGAAGGGGAACTTAGGTTTAACCTTGCCACAGCACAGAGGTCTCATCTTTCACAGATTTCATAGACATTCGGGCTGGAAGGGACCTTGGAAGATCATTGAGCCCAGCCCCCTGCCCCAGGGCCAGGAAGTCAGCACGGATCATAGGATCCCAGCAAGATAAGCGTCCAAATATGCCTTGAAGGCGTTCAAAGTGGGTGCTTGAACTGCCTCTGGTGGCAGGCTGTTCCAGACCTTGGGGGCTCGGACAGTAAAGAAGTTTTTCCTTATGTCCAGCCTGAAACGGCCTTGCGGGAGTTTATAACCGTTTGACCTTGTCATCCCTTGGGGCGCTCTGGTGAACAGACATTCCCCCAGATCCTGATGAGCACCCCTGATAAACTTATAGGTGGCCACCAGATCACTGCTGAGCCTGCGCTTTTCTAGGCTGAAGAGCCCCAGGGCTCTCAGCCTCTCGTTGTAAGGTCTGTTTTCCTGCCTTCTGATCATGCGTGTGGCTCTCCTCTGCACCCTCTCAAGCTTCTCCACAGCCTTTTTGAATTGTGGGGCCCAAAACTGGACGCAGTACTCCAGCTGCGGCCTCACCAAGGCCAAGTACAGGGGGAGAATGATGCCCTGGCATCTATGGATGCAAGCCAGCGTTTTGGTCGCTTTACTAGCCGCCGCATCGCATTGCAGGCTCATGTTCATCTTGTGGTCAATGATGACCCCCAAGTCTCTTTCTTCCATAGTGCTAGCCAACATAGCACTGCCGAGCCTATAAGGATGCTGCGGGTTTTTTTTCCCAAGGTGGAGAACCTTGCATTTATCGGCGTTGAACACCATCAGATTCTCGTCCGCCCACTTGCTGAGCCTGTCCAGGTCAGCCTGGATAACCTGCCTGTCTTCTGGTGTGGATGCTTTGCCCCAAAGTTTGGTGTCATTGGTGAACTTGGCCAGTCCGCTTCTGACTCCAGTGTCCACATCATTAATGAAGATGTTGAACAGTATGGGTCCAAGGACAGAGCCTTGGGGGACCCCACTGGTCACAGGACACCACGATGAGTGACTTCCATCGATTACTACCCTCTGGGTCCGACCCCGGAGCCAATTTTCCAGCCAGTGGATCGTGGAGGACCCAAGGCGACAATTGGCCAGTTTCTCCAAGAGGCGATCATGGGACACCAGATCGAAGGCTTTTTTGAAGTCAAGATATATGACATCAATCTCTTCTCCCTTGTCCAGGTGATAGGTCACCTGGTCGTAGAAGGAAATGAGATTGGTCAAGCAAGACCTACCCGCAACAAACCCGTGCTGGCTATCCCTTAAGATGTTGGCGTCGGCCAGTCCATTAAGGATGGCCTCTTTAATAAACTTTTCTAAGATCTTCCCCGGGATAGAAGTCAGGCTGATGGGCCTATAGTTAGCCGGATCCACTTTCCTCCCTTTCTTGAAGATAGGCACCACATTGGCCTTCTTCCAGTCTTCGGGCACTTCACCACAGTGCCAGGAGCTCTCGAAGATCCGTGCCAGGGGCTGAGCTATGATGCTTGCCAGCTCCTTGTGTACCCTGGGATGTAAACCGTCAGGGCCGGCTGACCTGTGCGACCTTGGGCAAATCCCTTTAATTTTTCAGTACCTTGGTTTTGCATCTGTAAAAGGGTAGGAACAGAACCTCATTTTCCCCTACCCTCTGTCCACCATGTCCATTTAAATCAGGTGTGTCAAACTCATTTGGCCATGGAGGCTGGATCAATGATTTCATAGATTTCATAGACATCAGGGCTGGAAGGGACCTCGGAAGATCATCGAGTCCAGCCCCCTGCCCAAAGGGCAGGAAGTCAGCGCTCGGACAGTAAAGAAGTTCTTCCTTATGTCCAGCCTGAAACGATCTTGAAGTAGTTTGTGACCATTCGACCTCGTCATCCCTTGGGGCGCTCTGGTGAACAAACGTTCCCCCAGATGCTGGTGGTCACCCCTGATAAACTTGTAGGTGGCCATCAGATCACCCCTGAGCCTGCGCTTTTTCAGGCTAAAGAGCCCCAGGGCTCTCAGCCTGTCATCGTAGGGTCTGCTTCCCTGACCTCTGATCATGCGCGTGGCTCTTCTCTGGACTCTCTCAAGCTTCTCCACATCCTTTTTGAATTGTGGAGCCCAAAACTGGACACAGTACTCCAGCTGCGGCCTCACTAAGGCCGAGTACAGGGGGAGAATGACGTCCCGGGATTTGCTTGAGAAGCATCTATGGATGCAAGCCAGCGTTTTGGTCGCTTTACTAGCCGCCGCATCGCATTGCAGGCTCATGTTCATCTTGTGGTCAATGATGACCCCTAAGTCTCTTTCTTCCATAGTGCTAGCCAACATAGCACTGCCGAGCCTATAAGGATGCTGCGGGTTTTTTTTCCCAAGGTGGAGAACCTTGCATTTATCGGCGTTGAACACCATCAGATTCTCGTCCGCCCACTTGCTGAGCCTGTCCAGGTCAGCCTGGATAACCTGCCTGTCTTCTGGTGTGGATGCTTTGCCCCAAAGTTTGGTGTCATCGGCGAACTTGGCCAGTCTGCTTCTGACTCCAGTGTCCACATCATTAATGAAGATGTTGAACAGTATGGGTCCAAGGACAGAGCCTTGGGGGACCCCACTGGTCACAGGACACCACGATGAGTGACTTCCATCGATTACTACCCTCTGGGTCCGACCCTGGAGCCAATTTTCCAGCCAGCGGATCGTGGAGGACCCAAGGCGACAATTGGCCAGTTTCTCCAAGAGGCGATCATGGGACACCAGATCGAAGGCTTTTTTGAAGTCAAGATATATGACATCAATCTCTTCTCCCTTGTCCAGGTGATAGGTCACCTGGTCGTAGAAGGAAATGAGATTGGTCAAGCAAGACCTACCCGCAACAAACCCGTGCTGGCTATCCCTTAAGATGTTGGCGTCGGCCAGTCCATTAAGGGTGGCCTCTTTAATAAACTTTTCTAAGATCTTCCCCGGGATAGAAGTCAGGATGATGGGCCTGTAGTTAGCCGGATCCACTTTCCTCCCTTTCTTGAAGATAGGCACCACATTGGCCTTCTTCCAGTCTTCGGGCACTACACCAGGCCCGGGTGTATGAATGGCACCGGGCCAGTCTATGGGCTGGATCAAGCCGACAGACTCCCCCACACTGGATCCAGCATCCATGGTACCTGTTCTAGATCCATGCAGGACATAGCACCTCTCTCTCCCTGCACTGGTCTGGGACCTGTGCCACACACAGCACCTGCTCCAGCCAGTCTGGGACCCACACTGCTGGTCTGGGACACTGCCACACACAGAGCCTGGTTCAGGAAGCCCAGGACCTGTGCTGTATGTGTCACCTGTGGGCACCGTGTGTAGCATGGGTTGCGGACTGGTTGGAGTAGGCACCACATGCAGTGTGCATCCTGGACAAACCTCCTGGACAAGCTGGGGGGCAGGGGCTGGGGTGCCCTGTGCTATGCAGTCCCAGACCAGCTGGAACAGGCACCATGTGTAGCATGGATCCTGGAGCCAGCAACATGTGCTGCATGTGTTCCAGACCCTGTGATTGGGGCCGGTCCAATACATGCCATGTGGATCAGCGTAGACCCATGGGCAGCACTGGGCTAGGTGACAGGACTCTGTGGATGAAGACAATATCTTTGACTCCCCTGATTTAAACTGTAAGAGAATCGCACAGTGAATCAATACAGTGCAAAGCAAAGTGGCTCCTGAGATCAGCACAGCCTCTGGGCACTTCTGTAATGCAGGCAACAGTAAGAATAAGAATAAGGCTTTGTGTCATGACAGACCTACAGACACACGAATGTTCACACTGAAAGACAGAGTTCGAATGGGGAATTCCAACACTGCAGTGGCCAAAGGACCTATCCTGCAGAGCTGGGCTCAGCCAGCAAACCGACCACTGCAGTACGGCGGGATGGGCTGAGCTACCAGAGCAGGTCTGATCCTCACACTGTTTCACCTATAGTAAGTTTGCTCCTGTGAGCTGGCAGGACTCAGCATGTGTGTACATCTCTGCAGGACCAAAGTGCTCATGATGACTTTTGGATGTATATTTTCCATTCTGCATTTTAGTTCCTACTTCCCAGTTCAGTCTGAAATTAAATGCCAGTAGTATAATTACTATAGTATCTGCTGTAGCCCCCTCATCTCTTTGTCTCCTTCCATGAGACACCGGGACAGGTTCCAAACATCTCTCCTCCCATCATCATTAAAAACACTAAAGTACAACCTCTGTAAACAACAATAAGGTTTATAGGAAATCTCAGAAGTTAGCGAAGGGAAAGACCTCCTGAGCTGACTCGCCTCGTCCAGCCCCTTCCACGGCATGCTGTTTCCTGGCCACAGAGTCTTAAGCGCCTCTGCCAAGTTATTTTGACATGTGGCACTATCAGTGGAATGTCGATTAGCTTCCCAGAGAGAGCTCCACAGCCAAGCATCTTTCCCGACTCAACCTCCAATACCATTTCCCTTATCATACCTTCATTGGCCTCTTCAGGGCTTCCTGAATGTCCACACGTTTCCTCATAATGGTCTGGTCCAGTTTGCGTTCGAATGCTAACAGGTCCATGTAGGCCTGGGACTCAGGAACCAACTCCCGGATCTGAGAAGGAAGCAGGGAATAACCAAACACTAGAAGCTAGAAATTCACCATAGTCCAGGAGCAAAAGTACTTGTATCAGGCCAGTCCTCAGAGAGAGGGTTAGCTCAGCCATTCTTACCTCCAGCCAATACAAGACTTCTATCTTTGTCCTAGTTTAAATTAAGAAATTAAGGGTCTCTCCAGACTCAGAAAAAGCTGTTTTATAAAATGTGCTGCCCAGCTTCTTTTAGAGCCCTAGTGCCGACAGGACAAGGTGCAAGTTAGCTTTTTTTTTTTTTTAAAGACATTTTCTATGTTCCAAGCCAAATCAAGTCCAAATTCATGAGTCAGTCCAGAACCATCAGTGGCCCTACAAGCAACAAACATCCTCCACCCCCACCAGGGGCTTCAGATATTTCCAAAGTCTTTTGGCAGGCATCCTACATGCAGCTCCAAGCCCAGACGCTTAGGGTGCGGGTGCCCTGAGGTTTCGCCTGCCCTCAGCCATATGGCCACAGAAGCAAGCTAGGGAGGAGCCTCCCATTTCCATAAAGTGGGCTTTAAGCCCCAACACCTCGGCAGGTACCAAACCACACAAGAAGAACAGTTATCCCTGGGAACGCTTAAGGAAAACTGCCTTCATGGACCCAGATACATGGTGTTTCCCTTGCCAGGTGCATGTTAGCCTGTGTCAGATGGGGGAGGCGAATCATGCATTTCTCCCCAGGCTTCAACATGGCCAGTTACAGGTGTCACCATCCCCTGTGCCCTGCCTGCAGTGGAGGGTGAGCACTCATTAGCCAGTACATTTTTCAAAGCACCTCTTTTTTCTGAGCTTGGCAGATGCTCAGTGCAGCTGGTAAGAGGTGGGGCAGGAGGAGAAGGAAGCTGGGATAGAGCATGGAAAGGAGAGAGGGACACAGGAAAAGACTAGAGGCCTGCACAGCTGGGCTGGATGCTTCCAGGAGACCTCCCTTCAGCTGCAGAGCCAATGGCTGGAACCGGTGTCAATTGTCCTAAAGTGGGATCAGTATGGCAGTGCCCCACTCCCAGCTGCCTGCGGCCCAATCCCTGCTGCTGCAGAGGCAGTGCGTGGAGCTCAGGGGGCAAGTAGTGCCCTGCCCTGTCCTCCCCTCTGGCAAACAGCAGCATCCTGAGCTGCTCCTGGCTTGTGCTGATCCTGGGAAGTTGCATCAAGTCAGAAAACCAGTCAAAAGGCTGAACACGACTTAGCCCCTAGCGCAGATAGAGGTAAATCCTGTTTCAAAACTCATTCGCTGAGGTCTCGGGTCAATCACAGCTAGCTAACAGCCTTAGACATGACTGCCCCCAGCTCCGCTAGATGCCAAGTCACAGTGAAGATCACATTCATTGGCACATTTTCTAAACTGAGGTGTTTTCCCACACACAAGAAGCTTACCCTGAGAACTTGGAGATTGGTCACAGGCCCTCCTGTCCCCCTGGTATCGCCTGCGCTGGGGAGCCTTTGTGCACACAGGGAATTGATCTTGAGCAGTAGTTCCTGACTACCTCCCCGTTCCAGAATACAGTATATTGCAACCAGCAATCAATCTCTGAGCTCCAGGGGTATGTCTACCCTGGGAACATACACTGCATCATCAAACCGATGTGACCCCAGAATGAGAGTGCCACATATGGCATTAATCAGGAACAATTCATATAGAGACACCGACAAGAACATGGTCTGCAGATCTCTTCCCTTGAGCCTCCTTGTCCCTTTTTAAGGCATTCTCTGCAGCTCTTACCTGGCCAGCAAAAACAGCCAATATTTCTGTACAACAACAGTAAAAGCAACCTGGCAACTGCTGTTGCTGCTGCCATCTGATTTTGTTCATAAAGTGCAGCTTATGGTTTGCATTTGGTCTGATGCACAAATACTAGATAGGAGAGAGAAAGCTGGGCCTTGATGGGAGCCTGGACAAGCCAACCTCCTAGCAGTGTATATGGCATCTGCACTTTCTGGGCCACGTTCCAGCAAGCCATGTTGCTCCTACAAACAGGTTTGCTACGAAAGAAGTAGCTCCTGCTGTCCCAGGTCAGGATCCGAATCACCTGCTGTCTCAGAAATACCCTGACAAGGCTGGACCATGCCACTAACCCTGGGGAAACCATGCCCCAAGCTAGCCAGGCAAGCTGTGTGTTCCAAAAACGTTGGCACCCTTGATCCTACCACTAAGCAGCATAAAGAGGAGAAGCAAACAGCACACTTGCAGGGAATCTGCCTGAGGAGGAACGAGGGATGTAGGTTATCACTCTCCCTAACAGGTGTCCAGAGGTAGGTAGTGGAGTTTCAGAAAAGGCAAGGTAGCGAGTACAGGGAGTAGTGGAACATGGGTTGTGTCCTGCACAGGTCTCTCACACTGGGGATAGGGGTGACTGTCTGTATAGCACCCAAGCTGGGACCCACATTGGAAGAAAAGGTTCAAGACCTAGAAACATAACCATCAATGGCGTGGAGCATCAGGGGAAACAGGAGTCTGGACAGGAGTCACGAGTTGCTACTGCAGACACATCATGCCAGAGAGTCAGAGAATGGTTTAGGAAAGGTTGAAAAACAGGGAAGAGACCTGGCTGCACATATCTCCCAGGAGGAGAAGCCAAGTGCATCAAACATGGATTAGAATCAGCTAATACAGATGCTATGGGCCAATGCAGAACCCACTGAGCAGAGCAAGTGTATTCTTCAAAGCAGGTCCTACAAGAGGGCCTACAACTTGTGAGCTAGTACTAATGGGGGATTTTAACTCCCTTGATACCTCTGTGAGGAAAGATCTGGTAAAACACAATGTGTCTAGCAAGGTCTAGCCCTTGTAGAGGTCAAATCTCCATTTCACAATGTTGAAGGAACAGTGCAGGGGTCATCTGTTCTGGATCTGGTTCCAACCAATAGGGATAAACTAGCTGCAGATGTGAAGGTGCTTGGAAATGTGTCAGGACTTGATCCAATGATAAGATGGCAAGGCAATGGCACAGACTTCAGCAAGGTCAGTTTTTACCTGACATCTGAGAAACAGCAGACAAGATCCCAGGAACAGAGGAGATAAAAGGAGCCCAGGAAGGCTGGCAGGATCCACTGGGCATGGTACTAGAGGCTTAACTCAAAACTATTCTTACATGGCAGAACCACAAGAAACTAATGCAGATACACACAAACCTTTGCTGCCACCTGAAAACCACAGGGATGCAGCAGAACCTGGATCATTCGAACATGGGGGTCCGCAGCAGGGTGCTGAATTGAAGACAAGCCACTCAGCTGTTTGCCGCAGCTCTTACTTCCAAGGTGCCATTCTTGCATTCAGCTGCAGCTTATCAGTGGTCCCATGCATCTGAGCACCTAAGAGTTCCCAAAAGACTTTGCTGCAGCTCTGCATGCCCACCCCAGATGCTTCACAAACCCTCATCTTCACAATGGGGATGAGGAACCAACAAGCTCTGTTATATACACAAGCAGCAGAAGGAGGGGTATTGCCCTGTGGAAGTGGACAAGAGAATAGCACAAATATGCAGGAATAAAATCTGCAGGTAAATTTGCAGGGAAGCAAAGGCGTACAATGTGACAACTGGCAAGAGACATTAAAGACAGCAGAAAAATGGTCAATAAATATGTCAAAGGGACATGGCTGACCAGGGAAATGGTAGGTCTCATGCTCAGCGATTGGGAAATATTAACAAAATACAAAGCCCATTTTGCTTCAGTTTTCACAATAACCCCACTTCCACTGCCAATAACCTCTGCAAGCAGACAACTAGCAAACATTACATGAACAGAGACAGGGAAGGGATGCAAAGCATGAAGAACGAGCGCATCAGAGAACTCCTTACTAATTTGAATGGATTTAGGTTGGTAGGGCTTGACTGGACTCATCCCAGAGTGGTGAAGGAACTGGCTGCAGAAATCTCAGAGCCACTGGTAATAATACACACAGACTCATGGATGGCAGGTGAGGTCCCACCGGACAGGAAAAGGTCTAACACAGTGCCCACCCATAACAAGAGGGATAAGGAAGACCAGAAAGTTAAAGTCTGTCATCCTGACTTTATTACCATCCGCCGTAAAGCTGGCAAGTCAGTCAGCAATACACAAGTCCTCGACTTCAGGAAAGCTGACTTTGACAAGCTCAGGAGGCTTGTCGGTGAGGCCCTAAGGGACCATGACTCCATGGGGAGGGGAGTTCAGGAAGAGTGGTTGCCCCTCAAGGGAGCGATCCTGGATGCGCAAGCTAAGGCTATTCCATCTTGGAGGAAAGGCAGCAAAAGGGCACAGCAGCCCCCTTGGCTCAGCAAGGAGCTAGCGAACCTCCTGTGTCTAAAAAGAAAGACCTACAAAGGATGGAGGACTGGATCCACCTCCAAGGAGGAATACTCTGCTCTGGTCAGGACCTGCAGGGAGTGAACCAGGAAAGCCAAGGCTGCGACAGAACTCCAGCTGGCTACAAGTGTCAAGGACAATAAAAAGTCATTTTTTAGATACGTGGGGAGCTGGAGGAAAAGCAAGGGCAACACTGGACCCCTGCTAAACCAGATGGGACAACTCACAATTGATGACCAGGAAAAAGCCAACCTACTAAATGGGTACTTTGCGTCGGTCTTTCACCAGTCTCATGGGACGCTCCTGCCCATTATGGGACAGGGAGGTCTGGGTGAGGGAGATCCCTTGCCCTCCATCAGTGCTGACCTTGTGAAGGAACACCTTGAGAGGCTGGACACTTTCAAGTCAACCGGCCCTGATGGTTTACACCCCAGGGTACTCAAGGAGCTGGCGAGCATCATAGCCCAGCCCCTGGCACGGATCTTCGAGAGCTCCTGGCGCTCGGGTGAAGTGCCGGAAGATTGGAAGAAGGCCAATGTGGTGCCTGTCTGGAAGAAAGGAAGGAAAGTGGATCTGGCAAACTACAGGCCAATCAGCCTGACCTCTATTCCAGGGAAGGTTTTAGAAAAGATTATCAAAGAGGCCATCCTTAACAGACTAGCTGACTGCAATATCCTGAGGGATAGCCAGC